CAGTCTTTCTTAGTTCATTAAGAATCCAAAGATAAAAATCCTTTGGTCTCTGTCTCCTTATCAAAGAACTTTTTATATTTTTTTCAAAGATTTTTTATAATATTCAGTACTGTTCTTCTTTGTTGTATCCATAATCGATCCTAAAGATATGTACATGCAGATTAGTATATATTTAGCATTCATGGCGCAAACATTTATGAACCGGCCGTGCAATTGATAGCTCGGATATACGGCGCCGTTGCAAGTGTCACTCGTGAAACTTTACGAAAAATTGAAGACAGCGTGAATAAAAGAGTGCGATTCATAGGGCGGTCACGTGGAACCATACCTGCTGTAACAGCATAATCGTCCTCAAAATCGTCTGACGAGAAACAACTTTCATCGTTGAACAACAATCGGCCTTTTTCAGGGCCAACACATCGTAGGACGTGCAACGACCTCCATCGATTAACAATAATCGGCCATCATCAAGGCCAATAATTAAAATAAAAATGTGGTGCCAGTTTTAAAGTGATAAGTGAAAAGTGACTGTGCAATTGTCTTGTGCAAATTACAATTTTTGTTCTGCTTAGGATTTAGTACTTTGGGTCAGTTATATAATAAATACTCTTGTACAATCGGATATTTGTATTTCGGATCAGTGTCGTGATAAAATTTATAACTGTTATTTATGCCCATTTTCATTGCATTCTACGTTAAATTTTTTTCAAAACTTTCGAATATTTATTTTTTTCTAAAAATTAATTCTTTTACCCAGATGTAGGATACCATTAATCCACCGCCATTTCGAGAATCACCGATTTAATTTCTAAGCATAGATTATTTATTTATGAATTAAACTTCGTTTTGGGTACATTTTTTTAATTTTTTTACATAATGATTCTTATCAATAAAGAACGAGGAAATATGAAGTTCGAAAGAAAAGTAACCGATGTTCTACTTATACAAGGGCCTAATAAGGATAAGGGGGTCAAAAGTGCTCTTGAGCCGAATGAAGCACCGTTTGCGTCATTCGATAACTTATAAAAAAAGAAACATTCATTCCAATTTTTAGCCCTATACCTCAACCACGGGGGTAGTACTCGGGAAAACTCGATGAAAAAATGATGAGATTGCATGAAATATAAAAATCGATTTCGTTCGGAAACTTGTCCGCAACTACATGTACATATCTGAATTGATTATATGAGATTCTCTTACACATTTACCTGTAAAAAATGGAAGTACCTGTTCATCTTCATAAATGTGTTAATGTGTCGCGTATGGTATGGTAACTGTTCTGCGGCCCACCAAGATTGATAACCAATACGGTTATTTAACTTTTGACTAGACTGAATGTATGTTCGGTAGCACGTATTTATACGAACAACTATTTTCCGATTAAAAAGATAATAAATTTGCGGAAAGATCAAGATTAACAGACAAGGATGTGCAAGCTATCTTACAAATAACTATAGCTCAACAAATTCGATCAAATTATGAAGATTTGGTTAATGAAAAACGATCCCAAATTTCTTAAAAAGGAAGATGATGTTATTTTATTTAAATAATGCTAACTTGAAAAAGAATTCCTACATACATATGTATTTTTTAATATGCTTATATTCTACGTATTATTATCTTGTATGTATTGATTTCTTTATAATAAACGCTATGCTTTATCTTTATTTCCTTCCTTTCTTATAAATGCTATGCTTTATGTTTTTTTATCAAGAAGATGTAGGTATGCACCGTACGCATGTCATATAATTCGTACTTCTAACACAGGCTTGTCACACTCGTGAACATATTAAGTATTGTATTGTTATCTACGTATGTAGCCTTAGAACATATACTATGCTCTAAGTATGTAGCCTTGAATGACGCGACATCTTCCGCGGAATCCAGCATGCGCACTATGACTTCAAATGAATCATTAGATTTCCCAGTCACAATCAGTAGATTATCATTAGATTACTAGTTTGCGATTGCAACAAGTGCTATAAGTACAAAGCTCATGCTGGTGTTCATCGCTCACATTTTCTCTGTGGATGCTACGTGCTTATTTATTTATTGATTAGTTTATTCAACGATTGTCTAGAAAGTGTACGAGGTAAGATAAAGGTGCAGTATGTAAGATTAATATTCGATTAATTAAACCTGACACGGGTTAGCGTGAAAATTTTCCATACTTGTGTGCATTCATAGAATTTATACATTCCGAAATCTGTCATTTTGTTTCGACGATATCGCATCAGCCGAGCAGAAACTGCCAATGCCGTATCTCGAGTCTTAAGTTTGTGATGATGGCTCGTTATGGCGTAGTTGGCCAAATATTTTCGCAATTTTTATCCTGGTCGCCCTAATCATAATTTTCATTACCTATTAATATAC